ATATAAGTGAATCTCTAAGCAGAAATTTTATAGGCCACATTTTCTGAGGAAAATTCAATAACATGAATCTACATAACAAAACCTAAATTAAAAAATTCAACTACCGAGAGACAAATGATTTGTTTGTTTCTTGCAAATGTTTTTCCTAAAATTACTTTATCAAAATAAGCAGGGAATTAGCTTAAGTACCACATTCCATCTTGCTCAAGAGTAACAGGTATAAGAGCAAAGGAAGCCAAAAATTCTAGCCAAATTCTCCATTCCTTCCCTGGGCCAAAGCCTACTACCACTGACAGTTTTCAAGGCGCAGAGACAGGAGAACAATATTCCTAAATAAATTAACAACCATACTGAAACTATGCATGTAGCCATTTGGCCCCCTGTGAATGAAGAGCTCTTCACAGGGCTAACCCACTGGAAAAGACCAAATAAGGATCTATTCCAACACTTAAGTACAAATAAGCTAGAAAGAAAATACCTTGCACTGTACTGCCTGACAGGAAGAGACCCCAGGTATTTATTTTATAGATTGTCTTATACCAAACAAAACTGAGAAATCACTGTCACATAAGAATTATAAAAAATTTCAAAGGACCAGTGGTTTCAGATTCAATGTAATTTCGTAATTCAAAATACACTTATAAAGCAACAACTAAAAAATGTGAATGTGCTAGATATCTCAGGAATATAAATCTTAGTAAGATGTACTCAATTTCAGAAGCTCACAAACTACTACAAGAGACAATCTCTGTTTTGGGGGTTCAGAATTGCTAATTAAGTGATTTGAATCCTCCTTGTCCTTACTACTTTTTCATCTGCTTTATCTATCAGTTTTTGATAGGAATGCATCAAAATTTCCCATTATGACTGTGGATCAGTCAATGCTGCTTTACAATTCCCTTAAAATATTTTGGGACTATATTGCTAGGTGCATACACAGTCATAATTATTATCTTGGTGGGCTGTGTCCTTTTTTTCATTATGTAGTATACCAAAATATGCTACTGATGTGTTTTTGCCTTAAATTCTACTGTTTTGACTCTTTGCAACAGGCCCACCTCCCCACCTCACGCCCACCCTCCATCTCCCTCGGCCAGGTGAAGCTGAAGACTATGGACCATGGGAAAGGAGAAGGTAGAATGGCTGCCTGACAGCTTCTGGAATGGAAAGGAAATAAAGATCTCTTGTAAAGGAAAAGTTCTTAATTTTGATGAAGTCCAACTGATCCTTCTGTTTTCTATTATGGATCCTACTTTCAGTGTCATGTATAAGAACTCTTCATCTAGCTCTTGGTCCCAAAGATTTTCCGCTCGGTTTTCTCCTAAAAGTTTAGTTTTATATTTCAGTCTCAATTCATTTTTGAATCAATTTTATACAAGATAGATGACATTTAAGTTGATTTTTTTAGTTTAAGCATGTCCTGTTGCTCCAGCGGCATTTGTTGAAAAGGCTATTCCTTCCTCCATTTCATTTGTATGTGCTTTTAACATGAAGACTCGTTCATATCTGCCTCCAATCTGGGAAATACTCTGGCATCATTATCTCTTCAAATACTTTTTCTTCACAATTCCCTCCATTCTCTGCCTCACTAGTGGGAAGCTCTCCTTCTTTCCTCCATGTCTCTTAACTCACTCATCTTTCATTCTCTGTATCTCTTTATCTCTCTGTGTTACATCCCAGGTTGAAATCACTGATACTATCGTTCAACTCAGTCCCTCTTTAACTGTGCCCAGTCTAGAGTTAATCCCATATGCTTTCTTGTTACTTTAACAAATATATTTTATACTTCCAGTACTTATAATTGGTTCTCTTCTAAATTTATCCCTTAATTCTCATCTGCTTGGTTTTCTTTCACTATTTCTTAGAAATTTACCATGGATGTTATTCCTTCAACTCTTTGATGATTTTAAACATATTTATTTGAAGTTAATTTTCAGATTGCGTTACCATATTTTGTTGGGAGTGAATTCATCTCCTGATTATTGTCTTTCTTAGTACTCATTATACTTGTTTGTTTGGGAATTTTAATTTGCTAGCTCTTCTTGAATAGAACAGTTTCTCTCTTTCTCTCCCTCCCTCCCTTCCTCTCCCACCCCTCCCTGTCCTTACAGTTATTGCACCATCCTCCATCCCTGTCTGAGCAGAGGTCTTCACTCTAGAACCAGGTCTTATCCTGGCAGCTTAGGGTTCCTATCCCTTAGAAACACTAGGGATATCCTAAAGCCAGTCATGTCATGGCCAGGTCCCAGATGCACTCCTATCTCTATTCCCCCACCTCCCCAGAAACACAACTTTGAACAAGCCACAGACCGAGTTCAGTTTCTTTTCATAAGGAGGACAGTCCCACCCCAGTTCGTAGGTTCCAGCAGTGAGACTTCTGCTTCCTTTGGTCTCCATACCCTCAAGCGTGTTGCCCATTCTTTTTTGACATCATGGCATACTTTGAAAATAATAGTATGTGGGGATGCCTGGGTAGCTCATTCAGTTAGGTGTTTGCCTTTGGCTCAGGTCATGATCCCAGGGTCCTGGGATCAAGTCCCGCATTGGGCTCCCTGCTCCGTGGGGAGCCTGCTTCTCTCTCTGCCTGCTGCTTCACCTGCTTGTGCTCTCCCTCTCTCTCTCTCTCTGACAAATAAATACAATCTTAAAAAAAAGAAAAGAAAGGAACAGTATGCGTACCACACGTGGGTACACTTCTCCACCCAGAAATGATAGCTGGGGGTTCTGACCACCCCAGGCCCTGCCTAGCTACGTTGAAGCCTGATAATAATCAATATTTCCGCACCCCAGTAAACTTATTCACAACATGTTCTCTGGGAAATACCACCCTAAAAGAGTTGACTCCCTGCACACGCTGCCTGTTTCCATACTTGGTTCTGTTTTTAGTCTACCAGGATGTTTATCTTGTTATTAAGATACAAGTATGTCAATAACATATTTCATTTATCACTGCTATATATTTGGAACACAGTGCAGAATTTAAAGCCTGAATTTGAAGGACCATCCTAACATAAGTCCATGCTGTGCCCTCTGTTTTAGAACACCCTCCTCTCAACCTCTCTGCATCACTTTTCCCAACTCCCAGTTTCAGTTTAGATGTCACTTAGTCAAGACAGCTCTTCATGACTCCACTCTCACCCCCAACTATGGGGTCAGATGTTCTCACAGAACCTGATTTTACATGCTATTGTACTGTACTACTATTGCCTATTTACCTTGAACAGTAAGTTCCCTGATGGCATGAACTGCCTTTTTCATTTCTGTATGGCAAGATGTAGCACTGTGCTCCAGTAAGTATGGATTCTGTGAATATTTTAATATCATCCACAATAACAGAGTAGGGAGTATAATGTAATAGAGAAGAGCTATGGCTCCGAAGCCAGAGATCCCCAGGTTTTAATGCCAGTTCTACCACTTACTGTGTGAGTTAGGAAGGTTACTTAGCCTCTCTAAGCTTTAGTTTCCTCATCTGTAACATTATGTCACAATTCGACTCCTGACTCTGCTCATTACTAGCTGCGTAACCCTGGGCAGTCCTGCGAGTCTCTTGGTCTCAGTGCTTGCACTAAGCAGTATCTTAGTTAACTCAGACACGTATAAATTCCCTAGCACTTTGGCTCCTTTCCCTGTTTTCTTGCTTCTACTTCATGCTGAAAAAAAAGGATAACACTATAGCTCAGCTTGGGCAGAGCTGCTGACTCAACCCTTCTCTGAGCCTAGGTGGTTGAAAAGGCTTGGCTGAAAAGGTTTCTACTCCGATGGGAGCAATAAATTTTATCTTTATATTCACAATTTATTCAGGCAAAGTGGAGGGCAATGTCAATAAGAACTTGAAAGAATAATTTTATTTATTTTTTGGAAGATTTTATTTAGTTTAGAAATAGAGAGAGAGAGAACGTGTGTGAGCAGGGGGAGGGGCAGAGGGTGAGGGAGAAACAGAATCTGAAGCAGACTCCACACTGAGCCCAGAGCCTGATGTTGGGCTCAATCTCACGACCCTGCGATCATGACCTAAGCCAAAATCCAGAGTCGGACACCTAACTGACTGAGCCACCCAGGTGCCCCCAAAGAATAATTTTAAGTACGAATTTAATACACCTCAAGAAGAAAAAAACAGCAAAGCAACTGACCACAGACTGGACCATTCTAAGAGAAGAAAAAGTCTCCATGAGAATCCATTCCAAAATGAAGGCCTCCACTACATTTTGTTGTATCCCAAACCCTATTGCTCAAGAGAGCACAGAAAACTAGAAGAGCATGGCTATCAGATACGACATTTAAGTATGGGGGAACCAACATGGCAAAGCACTTTCATGTTCGGGTTATGATATACAGGCAGAGAGTCTACTTTCAAGTGCTACATTTTTAATGTAATTATTTCATCACGAACAGAGCTTAGAGAATGAGAAAAAAACTGTGCCACTGACTAATAATAAAGAAAACTATAATTCAGACCAAAAGGAAATAGTGCAAAAACCTTAGCATCAAACAGACCAGGAGTCAAATCTTGATTCTGCCATCTCCCATTGGTGTGACCTTTAGCAAATATCAATTCTCTGATTCTGAATTTCCTCCTCTGCAGAATAAGGATCATGATGCTTACCTCACAGAGAGCCAGGAGAATTAAACGAGAAATTTGGTACATAGAGGTCAGCATTAGTGCCCAACTCATGGTAGGTGTTCAACAAATATTAGTTCCCTCCTATGGCCTCCCATGCAACTTTTACCAGCAAGCATTTTTTTCATAAAAGGGTTTGAAAACTGCTAAAATATATTTCCTCATGTCTAGATTCACAAACTTATCAGTCTACTCTGTAAGCAGATTCTCTGAGATAAGCCTGAGACACACAGGCCCAAGATCTCGTGAGCAACCTGACCCGGATCCGTGTGGACGTCTGGTCCCCAGACTAATGCCCAGAAAGACTGACTGGGCCCAGAATGCAGCCGGGGTGGTCAGAAGACAGCCAGAAACTAGAGCAGCCAAAAAGAGGAAGGATTACTTGAGTTTCGGCTCCCGTCCTTCACTTGTGTACTGCCAGCAGATGAGTCCGATCAGGTCCTGCACCCTGGCGCTGGCCATTGTCACCACGGTCATTGGCAGCAGTCTGTCCTGGCTCGAGTGCAGGGGGAGGTAGACGTCGATCTTCTTGGTTGCTGTTGTGCCTACATGACCCTGTGGACGGAACACATGCATGAGAGTAAAGCATATAGTCATGGTCATGCAGACCTCACTTGGGCCACAATGACTGCTCACCGGCCATTTCTCATCCTTTTGGCACAGACCTCCTTAAATGTCTGAAATGGCCCCCAAACTGTCTAGTTTTAAGGGTTTTTTCCCTTTAATTTTCATTTTCTAATGGTCTAATAGATCCAGCTCTGCCCGCAGTAAAGTAAATGAGCACTACAACCAAAATAAACAAATGAAGAGTGGTGAGCAGACCTGATGTTTGGTGTCAGGAGATGTGCTTTGCTACATATTTGGTGTGGCCTTGGACAAGTCACCGTTAGACCCTGACATCAACTGCTCTCCCTAAAAATTGCCACATCACTCCTTGAGACTTTGGGATAAGCTGCATGGGAAGCTGCCATACCTCGTGAGGAAGCATTCAGGCCTGCAGCACTGGAACCAAGGGCTCGCCCTTCTCTGAGCCTAGGGGGCTAATTCCCTTATGCAGTACACCTGTTTATTTCAGTCATCTACACTGAAGCTCTAGGGTCCCTGGTCTTCCATTATTGTCCTAACTACAATACCCCCACTGCTCTATAAATCCTCAATCCCTCCCACACACTTAACCCTTCTCCCTTCTGAAACTTCCACTCATCTCTGAATTCCTGCACTAATCAGCAAACTTCCATAAATCACTTCTTTAAAAAACAAAAACAAAAAAACACTCCTTCTGTCTCTCTGTCTTAATTGAAACTTGCTGGTCATTGAAGATACCGCTTCCTCTGCTATCCAGAAGACTGTTCTGCATTTTTCTTTTTTAAACCCCAAGTCCTCAAGGCCAGGAAGTTGAATAGTTATTCTTGTCCCCACTACTTCCGAACCATTATTTCTCCTTTCTTGCAAAAATTCCTGTTCCTTTGAGACCCAAGCCCTCCAACTATACTATCCTCTACCCCTACTTTTTTGTTTCTGTTATCCACCAATCTTCCAGTCATGCTTCTCCCTCACTGAGGAGTCTTCTTTCCACCCCCAGCACCTATCATTATTCTTGGCAATTCCATCTAAAGGAAAATCCATGTAATACCCAAGTATCTCAATCCCTAGACCATGTCATCCCATGTCTTTTCATCCATTCCACCTTGAATCACTTACTGCAGTGGGTACACCAGGGATCTGTACCAACTCTGAAATCTCAAATTAGAACATCTATTCACTGACTATACTTTAATATACTTTCATCTCACTTGTTCAAGTAGTCCCCCAAATTCTTCAATCCACAACTTACTGACCCACCACTACAAATGATGTCACCCTTATTTCCCAACACCACCCTCCAGATTACATGATCAACCATTGTAATCATTCCTTTGTAAATACAGTTTTAAGTCTCTCTTCCTCCATGGGACTCAACTGGCAGAATGTCAATCCTGGATGAACCCAACCCTCTGCACTCCCCAACTAAACATTGCTGGAGAAAAATCACGTAACTGCACAGATTGTTTTGACTTTAAATTCACGATGATAAACCTCAAACACTCAACATTGTATAGCACGCCTATTACATCTCCTGACCCAATCCGTACCCTATGAAAGACCACCACTGCATACTTTTGCTTCCCTTCTCAAACTCCTCATGAGCCCGCCTTGAGCTCAGCTCCTATCCTTTGCTCATATACTGCCAAAAGATGAGAAATATTCTTATTCTTCATTAAGAAGACCTTTCAGAAAGGAATTCTCTTATCCTCCCATAATTAAATTCACAAACTTACCTGGATTTAACCACATACACCCCCTACACTGGAGTGTCACACATCTCATTAAAGGTTAATCTCTCTACTTATGTTCTGTGTCCCTTTGCCTCTTACTTTCACAAGGACTTTAGTCCTTCACTTACTTTACCCTTCTCCTACATTATCAACCTCTTCCTCTCTTGGCTTCCATGATATACACTCTTGGTTTTTTTCAATCCTCTCTGGTCTCTCATTCTCAGTCTCCTTTGCAGATTTCTTCACCTCTACAGTCTCTGTTTGTTAGCATTCCTTGGCCTCTAGATTGGGCTCTCTTTTGTCTTTCTGTGTATTTCGTCCCTAGGTGATCTCACAGCCCCAAAGCTATAGTATAATCTATATCCTGTTGACACCCAAATCTTACCTCCATCTCAAACTTCTCCCTGGAATTCTAAATTCATACATCAAACTGTCTATAGAATAGGCAGAAAAGTGTCACACACAAGTTAAACTCAAGTTCAAATCTGAACTTTTCACTATTCCTCACTCCATCCCACCCCAAACTAACAACACTCTCCCTCATTTCAGTAAATGCTACCACCACAAACCCAGCTGCTTAAATCAGTAATCTTGATTGTTCTTTCTTCCTCCTGCCTTCTACCTACTCCCTTAGTAAGTTCTAGTGTCTACTGCAAAAATATATTTCAACAGAGAAAAAATAGTCTTTTCAGCAAATGGGACAACTGGATAGCCACACACAAAAGAATGAATTTAGACCCTTACCTCACATCATAAACAAATATTAACTCAAAATACACCAGGATGCCTGGGTGGCTCAGTCAGTTAAGCTCCTGCCTTTGGCTCGGGTCATGATCCCAGGGTTCTGGGATCAATTCCCACATGGGACTCCTTGCTCGGCAGGGAGCCTACTTCTCCCTCTGCCTGCCACTCCCCCTGCTTGTGCTCTCTCTCTCTCTTCTCTGACAAATAAATAAATAAAATCTTTTAAAAAAATGGATCAAAGACCTAAGTTTAAGGCTAAAACTTTTAGAAGGAAATATAGGTGTAACTTCTTCATGACCTTTGATTAGGCAATGATTTCTTTAACATGACACTAAAAGAAGCAACAAATGAAATAAACTGGACTTTTTAAAAATTGAAAACTTTTGTGCCTCAAAGGACACTATCAAGAAAGTGAAAACACAAGCCACAGAATGGGAGAAAATATTTGCCAATCATATATCTGACAAAAATTTAGTACCTAGAGTAATTCTTATGACTCAACAAGAAGACAATCCAATCTTTAAAGATTTATTTATTTATTTGAGAGAGAGCGAGCGAGCAGGGGGAGGGGCAAAGGGAGAGGGGGAGAGAGAATCCCAAACAGACACCCTGCAGAGTGTGGAGCCTGATAAGGGGCTCAATCTCATGACCCTGCGATCATGACCTGAGCCAAAATCAAGAGTCAGGCACTTAACCCACTAAGCACCCAGGCAACACCTCCAATCTTTAAAAGGGCAAAGAACTTGAATAGATATTTCTCCAGAGAAAATATACAAATGGCCAATAAACACATGAAAAAATGTTCAACATCATTATTAAGGAAATGCAAATCCAAATCATAATGAGATACCACTTCACAATCACTAGGATGGTAATAATTTTTTTTAATAGAAGAAATAAGAAAGATTAGCAAGGATATGGAGATGTTAGAACCCTCATACACTGTTGGTGAAGATGTAAAATGATGCAGCCATTATGGAAAAATAGTTTGTCAGTTTCTCAAAACTTAAACATATAGTTACCATATGACTCAGCAATTCCATTCCTAGGTGTACTCAAAGGGAACTGAAAATGTGTACATAAGTGTACACAGCAGCATTATTCATAATGACCAAAGAATGGAAACAATCCAGATGACCATCAACTGATAGGCAAAATGCATATAATGGAGTATTACTCAGCCATAAAAAGGAATGAAGTACTGACATGCTACAACATGGCTGAAGCTTGAAAACATTATGCTAAGAGAAGGAAGCCAGGCATAAAAGAAGGAAGCCATTTCATAAATGTGAACCCAGTTATATGAAATATCCAGAATAGGCAAATCTATAGAAATAAAAAGACTACTGGTTGCCAGGATATGGGGAGGGGGTACAGGGAATTAAGAAGTATGAAGTTTCTTTTTGGGCTGATGGAATTGTTCTGGAGTTAGATAGTGGTGATAGCTGTATAACATTGTGAATATACTGAAAACCATAAAATTATACACTTTAAGATCATTAAAACAGTAAATTCTATGTGAGTTTTAACTCAATTTTAAAAATTAAAAAATATGTATTTCAAAACCATCCCACTTCTCTGCATCTCCACTGTCACCAAAATACCATGAAATTTCATCTGGACTGTTCTAATAGATTCCTGACCTCCTATACTCTTGCCTACTTCAATTTGTTCTTGAAACACAAGCTAGATTTTTTTTTAACTCAAATTTGATATTACACCTCTGCTTAAATTCCTTCAATGAGTGGTTCCATGATACTTTGAATAAAATCCAAATTTCCTGCAGTGTCCAACAAAGCACTGCATGATCTGACCCCTGCCTAACTCTCCAACATCATTTACTGTTGCTCCCCGGCCTGCTTATCATAGTTCAGCTACACTGGCCTTCTAGAAGTGCCCTGAATGTGTGTGTGTGTACCTGTTTCTCCCACTTTCAAGAACACAGCAAGTGCTATTCACTACACCTAGAAGGCTCTTTCTTATGATCTTTGCATCCTCTAAAGTATGGCTCTGGGCAGGTTACTTCATCTCTCTGTTCTTCCATTGCCTCATATGTAAAATGATAATAATAGGACCTACCTATCAGAGTACTCTTGTGAGGATTATTATTAATTATTAATATTGTTGTTATTATTGAAGGCTCAGCCCATATGACACCTCCTCAGAGAAGCCCTCACTGATAATCCTGTAGAAAGAAACCCCTTCCATAGTTACTCTCTTACACATAACCTGTTCATTTCCTTCATAGCACTTAACAGTTTGATATTATGTATTTACTTATGTACACCTTCAGCCTATGACTTCCTCACTGGCCTCTGACCTTCCAAGAGAGCAGCCATAATAATGCCTGCTTTGTTTACTTCTCTATACACAATGGCTAACACTGTGCCTGGTGCACAGACAATTCTCCAAAAAAATCTGTTGGAACTACAGAATGAATGCATGGATGACTCAAAATGCCTACCAGGACAACACGGCAATAACTCAATAATGTTA